CATAATCCAAGTGTACAAGGAGCATGGTGTTGGGCATATAATATAAGTTGATAATCCTTGTCTCTATGAGTTGATCATCGAGCTTGAGTGGTTATAGCGTGTAGCCTGTAGTGAGGAATGATGGTGATTTACACACATAGCACGTGAAATATCAGAGAAGATGCATAATTTTGAGAGTGCCGAGATAAATTTTGAGCGAAGGACCACCAATGGTGAAGCCCATTCCTTAGCTACCTGTATGAGACAGCTGGTCGGCTTCTTTGGATTAACCACCCACCTGAGACGTTCAAATTCCTGTAGCCATAAGAAACACTTAAATGCATGGAACAAGATGAGTTGTCAAAAAAAAAAGAATACTGATAAGTATGATATGGTAACCCAAAGGCCGAATTCTTCCTGTAAGTTAGCTTCTGTTCTATTTACAGCTTTCCTACCATACTTGCAAACATTTACGGTGTGCTCTCAACATTTCGTTCTCCAAGCAAAGCTTCTGGGGGTGCCAAGAACTAGGGCCGACTACAATCTGGAAACATGTATTGACGCATGTTACCCACATCAGTTGAGAATGCAGCTAGAAATAGATTTTGCGCATACTGGCTACAAACACCTGGATACTCAAAAGAATACTTTAGAAATTCTCAGACTGGTTAAGACAGAGTAGCATGCCCAGTTACCCACGTATGTATCATGTGGCTCCAAGCCAAAATTTACTGCCAACCATAACAATGGTGGCTTCTGTTCTCTCACTCTCCCCTTTTATCATTGGCTCTTTATTTGCTTATTCCAAAGTAGGTAAATGGACAAAGATTTACTGTGCCTTGCCAAGTGATATTTGTAGCAGCCATCGTCGCACGTATGTCTTCAGGCTACATCGGGAGTATTTATCAATAGTGGGTCCCAGCTTATACTTGTCTTCACTAAAACAGTATAGCAAAAAAAATGCTGAGAAAACACAAAGCATGTTATAGCAACCGAATGGAAATTCCAGAATGTATTCCAGGATTGTATGCTACTCCCTCCGATCCATATTAATTGTCGCTGATTTAGAACACCAAATCTATACTTATAGAAGACAAGAAGGCATGTTACACTTAGAAATGGTACGAACATACGGTGCTTTTTAACCCCATATTCCAGTTCCAGATGGGCTTCGCTGCAAGAATACGGGATCATATTTTTCTAGTTCCTGAACCATTGATTCAATCATGGGATGGGAAAACAAGAAACAGAGTACTTCAGATGAATTAGGGGTGGAAGAGAAAGGGGTTTATCGTCAGTACCTTCTCAAACCAAGTAGTACTAAAAATTATTTCTGAACAGACTGCAGACCCACGAGATGAGTGCCTCAACTCTCCTGACATAGTACATGCTATTATAGAAACCATGGTTAGTAGTCAATCAAAAGCACATATCATTCACCTAGCAATAAAAACAGGTCTACTGCGCCAAATGAAATGACCATTTGTTATTTTAGCAGTTACCGTTAACATGAAAATGAACCTGATATAATCTCAACTTCACCTGACAAGCTAGAAGGATATTCACTCCACACAAACCTTTGTCTGAATCAGCTTACAGACACATTCCAAAACAAAATGACTATGACTGCTAGGATCAAAATGTATACTCCCTCCATTCCATAATAAGTGTCATGATTTAGTTCAAACAATTTGAACTAAAGCACGTCACTTATTTGGAACAAAGGAGGTACTAAATAGTGGCATATCACTTGAGAGTTGATATAATGAAGCTTCTCTGTCCTTACAGCAATACAGTTATCATACATACTAATCTTGTAGGTCAACAGAAATAAAACAATTCTGGCAGTAGTTAATTTGCTAGGTTGCACTATTAATTCCAGACATGAAGAGGAACGGATTTTTCATTTCAGTCAGATGAACTCAACACCATAATCAATTTATGAGGTTAGTTACACCATGACAAGCTCAGTCGAAACCAAACTTGGGTTCTCCTGTTGCAGAGCATACATCTTGTCGGTCATTCCTTCCTTCCGATAAGCTTCCAACAAGATGGAGTATGTGATGGCATCTGCTTCACACTGCATATGCTTCATGTGCCTGAAGACCCTCTCCATTTCCATCAGATCCTCCGCTTTCGCACATGCCGCAAGAACAGAGTTGTGGAAAGACGTATTCGCCGGTACATCGAGCCTCTCAGCAAGCTTTACCATGCCTACCACCTTGTGGAAAAGGGCTGCATTGCTGAACCCGTTTATTAGACAACAGAAGGTCTTTGTATCTGGCTTCATCCCCTCTGAGCGCATCTGGTTAAATGTGTCCTCCATGTTTTTGGCATCACCTGCCACAGCAAATGCCTCGATCACATTGTTGTATGTAGCAGTCGTCCATGGAAATGCTAGCCTGCGCATGTATTCCATCACCGCAGACATCTTGTCATACATCCGCTTCTTCCCGTAAGCACCAATGAGAATGTTGAACGTCCGAGTCTCTGGCTCGATCCCATAGCCTCGGAATTTCTCGTACCACTTCTCCATCAGCTCAACCTGGCCACTGTTCCCAAACAGGCTTAGGATAATGTTCATGGTCCAGACATCCGGTTTACAATTTGCACTTTCGAGCATCGCAGAGAGTAGCTTCTCCATATCGTCCAGCCTTCCTGCTCTGCAGTAGCCACTGAGAACAATGTTCTGCGTGACCGTGTTGGGTGTCACGGAGCGCTCAGCCATCTCTTTGTACATAGCATCGACGAGGTCGAACCTTGAGGCGTCGACGAAGGCCTTGAGGAGGATGCTATAAGTGTAGACATCAGGCTGGCACAGCGGGGCGGCCTTCATGTCTTCGAGAAGCTTGAGTGCCTCGTCTAGGAGGCCGTTCCGGCAGTAGGCCCCGATCAAGGCCGTGTAAAGCTCGGGAGTTGGCTGGCATCCTTGCTGCTGCATCTCGGTGAAAAGGTCTTGTGCTAGAGAAGGCTGGCCTGATCTCCCCAGCAACAGGAGGAGTTTCATGTAGGTGCCCTCTTTGGGATAGTAGAAAGTTTGCTCCTTGAGCATCTCGAAGACCTACACATATTTATTCATTTTTCGGAAATCAAATCAGTTGGTAATTCCTAAAATGGTGCGACGCAAAGTAAAAGGGAAATTACAAATTTATAAGGAAATTTTGATTGGTATAGCTGGTTGGTGACTGTTACCTGAAGCGCCTCCCGCCAGTTCTTGGCGGCGATGCGGTCGGCGAGGGCCTCGGTGACGGTGCAGGCCCAGGCCTTGGCATCGGCGCGCGCGTCGAGCCTCTTCTGGACGTTCTTGATAGGGGTGCGAGCGCGGCCCCTCCTCCCGGACTGGGATTGGGACTCGGCCGCCGCCGGGAACTCCCCCGCCCTCCAGTGCCTCTGGCGCCCTCCCCCCTCCGGGTCCTCCCCCGCCTTCCAGTGCCTCTGGCGCCCTCTCCCCTCCGGGTCTTCCCCCTTGGACGGTGGAGGTGGGGGCGGGCGCTCCGTGGTCCGGGGTCTCCGGCGCTGCTGCGTGCCGGAGGAGGGGGAGGTGGTGGGGAATGGGAACTCGCCGGCCTTCCAGTGTCGGCGGCGAGTATTAGTGTCGGAGGTGTCAGCGGCGGCGGTGACCAGGCGGGGCCGGAAGGTGGCGTTGGCGGCGCCGGCTAGCGCCATGGAGGTGGAGTTGGCAGGCAATGCGGAGGCGAACGCGCTGAGAAGAAGGTAAGATAGAGCTAGTGGAGATAATTCCAAAAGAGACTAGTGACAAAAAAATATCGAATTCCTCATTTATTCTGAATCCAAACAGTCTAGTGGAAAATGAATCCTATCTATTTTGTAGATAAAAAATCGTTTCTTTGAAAACAAACATTTTATTTCTGAATCCTGAAAGACTTGTGACAGATAAACACCTTTCTTTCAAGTACTACCTTCATCGATTCTAAAAAAAGTACTATCTTCATCCGGGTTTGTTAGTTCTCTCGCATTTTGGGTCAAATTTTAACATAGATTTAACTAGCACAATATGATTTATATGCAACAAAAATTATATCATTGTAAACTTCTTTCAAATAAGAATCTACCAATGTAATTTTGTAGCATATAACTTATATTTTGTTAATCAAATCTAAAGTCAAAGTTTAGCACAAAATACAAAAAGGACTAATAAACCAACTAAGGTCAAAGTTTAGCACAAAATACGAAAGTCACTAGTAACCCAGACGGAGGTAGTAATCATTTTATCTCTGAAACAATCACAGAATCATTTTAACACCAGAAGGATAGCTATCCTTATTGGTCACAAACAATGATCAAAGTCACACATGACAAGAATTCTTCCTTTACCTGATACTCCCTCCGGTCCTTTTTACTCCGCATATTAGATTTGGGTCAAGTCAAACTTTGTAAAGTTTAACTAAATATATATTAAAAAATATCAATATCAACCATACCAAATATATATCCCATGAAACTACATTTCGTAATGAATCTAACAAAATTGATTTGGCATCGTAAATGTTAATACTTTTTTTTATAAATTCGGTCAAAGTAGAGATGCTTTGACTTCAAACAAAACTTATATGCAACTAAAATGGACCGGAGGGAGTACATCACTCTATTCTAGGCTGAAAATTTCAGATTCAGACGCCAGAAACACAAACTGACAGGTGACAACCACCCACGAAACATTTTTTTTCTTTTTCTTTGATTTATACTCTTGGTGTGTACAATACGATAGTAGTAGAGATAAGAGAAGTCTGTAGCTCATACCAGCAACCACACCAGCTGAGAGCCTTTCAGACCGTTTTACAAGCTAGTTCTGTACATCCTTGAGCCGTCATACACACCACTGTACATTCCATTCCATGTATCAACAAATGCAAAAATCCCCGCTCCGAGGGGTGAAAAATAAAAATCGATCAATCTGTTACGTATTCAGAAGAATTCTCCACCATGTTCTTCCGCGCGCTGGTATCTCTCTCTATCTTTATATCTCCAGAAGATGTTTAGGGTTTCCTTCTTTCTTTACCTCATTTGGACGAAAATGGACGACTCTTTGGCCGAGGGGGCCTCTCCTCATGCTCAGGGGCATCACTCTTCTCGATGCTGTTCTTGCCCCTCAATGGCACGGTTTCAGTATTCTCAGAGATCCGGTTCTGTCGTGGTCTTCGTTCCTGCAAATCCAGTCACTTGCATGTTCAACTTTTGTGATTGTGCATATGTAGGCAATAAGCATCAAATTCAAAACCAAGCTAAACAATCCTCTGTAAGCCAAATGGAGCCGGTAGAGCAAGCATATAGGATAACCAAATAAGATGGCATCAATGGCAGCACATCAGTCCAGCACAAGTATATACTGTGCAATGACCAATTGATCATACAATGAATAAAAATAGCAGGAAAATGCATGATTTCCAGGTAAACCAATAATCATATGTGAATGGTGTTCTTTTGTGAATCAAACCTCTTGAGGTATGGTTTCGCTAGAATCCAACATCCGGACGACCTGATCCATCCTTGGTCTCTTCTCAGCATTCAGATCGATACACCGCAGAGCTGTCAAAAGGGCACGTTTGAGTTCCTTTGTCGATGGTCTTCTCTCAAGGTGTGGATCCACCACTTCGTCAGACCGTCTGTTGGCGACCATCAATTTAAGCCAATCGACTAGGTTTACCTACAGGTAAATAGCAACAGCAGTGTGTTAGAAAGAGATGAAGGGCACTGAGTTGCCTGGTAACAGAAGAGATTGAAAAATGAGTAAAAAGAAGAGATGAAGACAACAATTAGGGATCTCAAACATAACAGAAGAGATTTTGCAAGTATTACCTCACTTGGGGGGCGATCATAGTCAATTGGATCTCTACCTGTAATAACTTCCAATAAAAGAACCCCAAAGCTGTAGACATCACTCTTCTCATTCAAAAGCCCGCTGTTAGCATACTCAGGCGCAACATAGCTGCATAACAAGAATATAATAGTTATTGAGTGAAACTAATTGTTAGCATCCACAACTAATCTCTCGAATTATAATGGATAAATTTTGGAGGAAATGAAAACAGAAACTGACTCATATATACCATGGCATGAAAAACTTACCCAAAGGTACCCATAACTCGAGTAGCAATATGACTTTTACCAGCACCAAGCATCTTGGCCAAACCAAAGTCAGATATTTTGGCATTAAACTCATCGTCGATCAAGATATTGCTGGCCTTGATGTCACGATGCACAACCTTTGGTTCAAGTGCCTCATGTAAGTATGCAAGGCTGCAGGCAAATGTGGAGTCTGTATCAAATTGATGTTTCCAAGAGCCCCAAGGCTATAGGTAAAATTAAGAACAATATCGAATGACTGAACAGAACACCACCATGTTATTCAAAAAAAGAAGAGCACTAGTTACTTGCAACAACAAAAAGAAGCACTACTTAAAGCCATTGTGATACAGTACCGACAAGGACTGGCTAAAAATTTGTGTAGTCTCAACCTTCACTGTAATCATATTTCAGGGCTGATCCAAATCCAAACTTGTTTCTGTTCACAACAGTATATACTATAATTTCTAGCGGCTAATAACTTGGTACGATAGTTAAACCCAGATGCCATTATGCCTGAAACATGTGCCGATGTGCATCAATCAGAATGATCATTTGTTAGCTCTTGCACACTATCGCGTGATGAACAGAATTTTGGAAGTACAGAGATCCTAAGAAAAGAATGAGTTTAGTGAAGGAGCTACTCACGCCTTTGCAGTCCCCAGAAGAACTTTCATGCGAGCTAACCAAGTGAGAGAGCTGTACTGGGACAATTCTCCGTGGAGCCAACTTTCAAGATTCCCGTTGTTAACAAACTCGTATACAAGCATCCTGGTTATGCAAACACATCAAGCAATTCATGTTATGACTTTCTTGTTTATTTGATGCTAAAACAATAGAAACATAACAGGCTATGCTTTAGAGAAAAAATGGAAGAAGAAAAAAAAATGATGACATATTCTGACCTCTGGGTACCCTCAACACAATATCCCAAAAGCCGGACCAAATTCTTGTGGCGAACATTACCAATTGCCTCAACTTCCACTCTGAATTCCCGCTCGGCCTGCCCTCTGCACAAAGTCAAGCAATTCTTGTATAAGCAGAAAGGAGGTGACACAATAAACTTTCCAGCCAAAAAGTCAACACAATAAACCCATAGACATCCATTTCGTCACCGAAATATCGTTATAGGAAAACTCACAAATTGTTAAGGATTTTCTTGACAGCGACTGGGGTGCCATTTGATAATCTGCCACGGTACACAACACCATATCCACCCTCACCAATTACGTTGTCCTTTGCAAAATGGTCGGTTGCAACATCTAGATCTCTGAGAGTGAACCAATGGCCCCAACCAAGGTAAGAAAACTCAGGTAGGCCGTCCAATGGCGCAGAATCGGCAGTAGCATGTACGGAAGGCTGTTCACAGACAGAAACAGATTGAATTCCATCACAGCCATCAGTGTGAACTAAAGAACCTGAAAGATTGTTCTCTTCTCTATGCCTCGAATTGTCCTCCTGCACCAATTGAACTGCATCTTTATCCATTGATTCAACAGGCCCATTCTCAATGGCGAGTAGAAGCCCATCATGTACAACATAATCATTGGATGAAAATTGGTCAGCCACCCTGACTTCTGTGATGTCCTTGAATGCAGAAGGTATCTGGGTCATGGGAAGCTCCTTGAATGCCTTTCGTGACCGTCTGATCCAGGTTTGGATGGTTAGGCATATCACAAGGATAAGAAGAATACCCAGGAGGGATGCTCCAACAGCGATCCCAATCACAACCCAAAGTTTAAGCCCAAAGACGATTGTTTTCTCATGAAGTGATTCTGTGAGCGTGGAATTTGATGACATCTTGTGATCATCAAGCACCTGCGTTCAAAGGATAAGAAGGTGTTAGTGACAGATGCAAAGAAACACTTGCCTATATTAACTTGATTGCTTGGTCTGTGGACACTTAATATCATCTGTCTCAAACTGTTTGCAGCGTTCCCACGGAGGTAATAAACCTACCCTAATACGTATAAAAGAAATGGTGGAACTGTTTGCTGATTTGGGAATTAATGAGAAAGCTACATTGCAACCACCAAGCTGAAGACCAGGCAAAGGTGGCGTGCTCCGCGTGCAATTAGAGGGTCGGCAAATGCAAATTAAGTTTGCACACGAATGTACTAGCTTCAAACCAGTATTACTTATGCAGAAAGAACAACAGAGTGACATGTGGCCAAGATCAAGTGAAGCGGACTGACGTGCCAACCACCATTCCCATACCTAGAGCTTACTTGCTGTTGAAAATTAAGTATGTCCAATCCAAGAGCTACAGGCTTAAACAAGTAAAGAGGTATGAAGACACCAGTTCTTGAGACATCCTGATGCGTTTCACACTAGAGCAGAGAAATAAGTAGAAATTGAACATCAGGCCTACCCGCCCTTTGATTATGGATGGATACCACATATAGATGTAGCATCTCTCCACAGAAACAGAAAATTGGGCACGGTTCAGGGAACCGACAAAGCAGCTAGCTGCACGCAAGCTAAGCAAAGCTACAACAGAGGGGGCGCAAGATTACTACCTTAAGCTAGCATCCTAAATGCCAAAGTTGATGAATCTTATAAATCTGAGGAGCAAGATGGAGAGAAGAATGAAATAAAAACTGTTTGTAGCCTGAAATCTGGACGGCGAAACCGAATCAGCGGGAGCATTGTGGGTAATGGCGGAGGGGGAGCGGGGAGGAGCAGGGAAAAGAGGAGCTCGGGGATGAGTGAGATCCAGTTATTAGCCGAGACGCTCGCATTCGCTCCGAGAAAGAGGGGATGAAGGGGGATTGGATGGATGGATAGGGTACCTGGGATCCAGCGCAGCAGCGGGAGGAGGAAGAGGACGAAGCAATTGCAGTGTGGGGAGGGAATGTATGGGGAAGGAAGGGAGGGGATTTGGAGATGGAATTGGAAGGTGGTGGCGGCAGGAGAAGGGGAGTTGTCAGCGTGGTTGGTAGTGGACTGGCGAGGCAAGGTGAGAGAGAGAGAGAGAGAGAGAGAGAGAAGAGCAGTCCGTCAGTCGGTCGGGGCGGACGGGAGTGACGCGGAAGAAAGCACCCCAGCCAAGCGAAGTCAGTGGTGAACGCAAAGTAAAGCACACGCAGACGCTCCACCCTTCCTTCTTCACACCTCTCCCTCTAGTGCTCTCCAACCAATAAACTGGAATTAATAATTTGTTTCTTTTTGCGGGGGGATTAAATTAATAATTTGTTAGTAAGAGACTCGAGATGGTAAGCAGCGAAGTTGTAAAATATAATCTCTGTGACTAACCCGGTAACTTATGGGTGCATTTAAGGTTTATTTTATTCAAAAAGAAGACACGATGACCTAAGGCCAAGGTAATGTGCGGCAGCATGCGCTAGGTGGTGGCAGTGGTACCGGATGTGGGCCAGGGAGGGGTGGTGAGGGAGGTTGTGTAAGAGCATCTATAGCCGGACTTGACAAATCTGATCCCTCAAAGGTTCGTGGACAGTGACAACTCATGCTTCAAATAATCCATTATACAACTGGATGTCTTAAATTGAAAACTTAAATCCATACTATTATATGCAATGTAAACCCGTCTTTTAAGCAGAGCTCATTCGGCTCCGTTGTGCCTATATTCGGCGGGCGGCCGCGGCAAAATTTCGTGTTTTGACCTTTTTCTGAAAGTTAATCGAGATCTAACCTCAGTTTGTAAAAATTTCGGGATTTGGCCATTTTGCTACCGCCAGGGTCCATAGCGATAGAGTGTAACAGTCTTTCGTCGGGGACCTTGGCGGTAGGAAACACCCATATCGCCAAACGGGTCGTCGATAGCATGTACACCCCTACCTCCAAGATGCCCGGCGGTAGGTGCGACCATGCACTGTGTTCCTTGCTTAGGAAAAAATTCTAGTAAGGTGTTATACCCTACCGCGATGGACCCTGGCGGTAAGAAAAGGGTCAGATCTCGAAACTTTTGCAAGGCAGGGGCAGATCTCGGTCAAGTTTTGAAAAGGGGTCAAAACACGAAATTTACACGCCGCCTGCGTCCCCCGGAGTATTGATCCGGTCACCGGCGAGGTAGAGTAGGAGATGGAACCCTGACAGTGCCGGTGGACGTCAAATTGACGATGGATCCGTCCTGGGACGAGCCGGCGATATCCATCACAACGTGGTGGCGGTGCTTGAATTGGTGCACTATACGGGCAATCGGAGAATGCGACTCCGCCTCGCTAACGTCCACCGCCGTGAGGGCTACCGCCTCCTCCCGCGCCTGCCATGCCCGAGAAGGCCGGAGATCGCCGGAAGGGACCTTGGGTGGAGGAGGGGAGTGAAGTGGCTAGGACTTGGCCTGGAGAGTGGACGGGGATGAATATATGTGTGATCAGATGGGCCAACGTGTGCCGGGTCCGACGTGGCGGACGCGCCCGAGCCTCCCCATATCCATCCCATATTTGGGCTGGATATGATGGGTGTCGACAGCTCAAACGTTTGAGTGGGGGTTTGAGGCGCCCGGCTGAGTTGATTTTCTGTGACCGATCACTGAATCGGCCGTCTGTCTAGGCGTTCGAAGCGGGTTTGAGGTGCCCGACCGTAAATGCTCTAAGATTTTACTACCGGTTGTCTTTCCATTCAGCTTTTATCATGTTTATTGCTACCTCCCTCTAAGTTTTTCGTTGAAATTCCTACCTCCCTCTAAGTTTATTAGTTCTCATCAATAATGAAGCCAGCCGGAAAAATCTAGAAGATTACTGTTAATTTTAGGATTATTTTCTTCCTAGTGTACAATAAGCGTACAGTAATTTTAGGTTGTTTCTATCAAATGTTGCGGGTCAGTTGACTCCACAAATTTTAGGATTATTTTCTTCCTACTGTAGAGTGTACAGAAATTTTAGGTTGTTTCTATCAAAAGTTGCGGGTCAGTTGACCCCACAACTTGTACGTAGAATCATCACTGGTCTTTTTAAGTCAAAGTTTACTACATTAGCAAAATATTAATTCATGTCATAAAAAATTATATTATTGTATTCATATTTAAATATAAACTTCAATGATATTTTTTTGTTACATATAACTTTTATTTATTAGTTAAAATCATGGTCACAATATTACCCAGAATACAAGAGGGGCTAGTAAACAATGACGGGTAGTACTGCTTAATTAACTGAATGTGATTATTCATCACATCAGATTAGAAAATAAATAAACTTCAGAAAACTTTTCTACTCGTCAACCGCCAAGGCAGTACGAAGAAGCGTCATAAGTAACATAAATTACATTCAAGTTCGTAGACCACGTAGCCACAACTACGAACACTGGAGCCACCGGAGCCGGACAAACATTATTCTAGTAGACAGTCAGGAAGTCGTCATGGTAAGACCCCACATGATCAGTGCATCAGAACAGCAACCGTCGTTGATGATGAGAAGCGCACATTGAAAGAATCCAACATGTAGACACACGAACATAAACGAATGAATATCGGATCCAACTTGATCCAACGAAGACAAACATCGACCAAATCCCACGAGATCCATCGAAAACATACCTTCAAACGCCCTCCGACGATGCTAGACGCATCATCGGGATGAAGGCAAGGTAAAAAGAACCTTATTCTATCTTCAGAAAGCCGTCATCATCTCACCTTCCTAAGTAGGACACAAACCCTAAGCAAATTTAAAACACACACCCAAAAACACAACCCTCCTGGCGGTAACCGATGGGGGGGTAGAGGAAACCCTAACGACATGTGCCCTTGAGACATGTTAGAAAGTAAGGTTGATGTCACACACAAGCAAACACAAGTTAGGTGATAGTTACAAAAATAATTACTTTTTTTTAAAAAAAAGGGCAACCTGGTGCATGTAGCTCCCGCTTGCGCAGGGTCTAGGGAAGGGTCCGACCACTTTGGGTCTATAGTACGCAGCCTTTCCCTACATTTCTGTAAGAGGCTGTTTCCAGGACTTGAACCCATGACCTCATGGTCACAAGGCAGCAGCTTTACCACTGCGCCAAGGCTCCCCTTCAAAGGGGAGCCCGGTGCATGTAGCTCCCGCTTGCGCAGGGTCCGGGGAAGGGTCCGACCACTTTGGGTCTATAGTACGCAGCCTTTCCCTACATTTTTGTAAGAGGTTGTTTCCAGGACTTGAACCCGTGACCTCTTGGTCACAAGGCAGCAGCTTTACCACTGCGCCAAGGCTCCCCTTCCAAATATTTGGATTAGAGTTAATTACTTCTTTTTAGTTGAACAAAAAAAATGTTACTCGTATATGAGGAAGAACGGAAATTTTGGCAAAAAGAGTAAATTCGTGCTAAGGTACATTTATATGTTAGCTAACTTGTGCATATACACCCTATAGCAAGTTCTATTTTTTTACGAGGTGAAAGAATTTTATTCCTTGATAATAGGGTTAAAAATGAGAGGCAGAAGATCCTCTATACACGGCGGTCCACTATGTAGTCATACAACAGTAGCATTCTCCTAATACGACTATAAAAAACCAACCGATTTGCGACCCTATTTTGTTCACACTCACACAGCAAGTTCAGCTCCTAGAGATCGCCGAGTCCTCTGCTGCACCACGGCGCCTCTTCTGCGACAAGCCAACCCCCCTGCTTGGCCTGCCCAAGCCCAAGCGAAGTTCCGCTCCTCCCAAGACACGTGCCACGTCCGTTCCGCCATCGCGCCAGAGCGCGCGCCATGCAGCCCTGAACTGCAAGGTGCCGGTTGCTCAGCGCGGCACGCTCCGCCTGGTACAGGGCCTTGGCGTCCTCGGACCAAAGGAGAAGATGACGAAGAAGGCGGCGGAGGCGCTCGCGCGCAGGTTCGACGAGCCCCTCTCCGAGGAGGACATCGCCGTCATCGCCAAGCTTACCAGGATGGGCACGGAGGCCCTGCGCATCGCTACAGGTCTCAACGGGCCTGAAGGAGTCGCCGAGAAGGCCATGGTGTAGTCATGTTAGAGATCCTTCCTTGTTGTAGTAGTAATTGTAGTCTCCGGTGGCGGCCAGCGTTCGGCTAGCCTGAGTTAGGTTTACTTCCCCTCTGTCAGCGTTATGGTGTGAGGTTGAGCTGGCGCCGTCGCAACTTGGGGCCTATTGGTGGGCGATGGCGCTCCCCGGACCGCTCGCAAGTGTACCTGTGTTCTTTTATTAGTAAGTGTAGTCACCGGAGAGATCTCCAGTGTCCTGATGATTGACGAACCCACCTTGCCCCC